TTAAGTACCTCATGTAAACTATCCTGGCTATAGCCGGGATTGGGCGAAAGGTATAAGCCATATAATTTCACACGTCATCATTTCTTAAAGGCCATACGAGTGAATACCTTTCCTGAGGGCAGGGGCTATCAACAGAAAGGATGGTCAATATTAGGTGGATTTTTAGTTGCTGACGCTAGTATCACAGAATAGATGGCTAATAAATGATCCACATGTCACGTGGTTAAATCGTTCTATCTCTGCCTTTATTTTCAGGCCATAGAGTGAGCAAGTCTGTGCGCTCATTAAGCGCTGTCAGAGTACTCAGTGAGCACTCAGGTTGTGCTAACTGAGCATACCCTGAGCGTTCCCCGAGCATAACCTGAGCATTATTTTGGCATTACTAAGCATACCCTTGAGTACACTGAGTAATCACCCTCAGTGAGCAGGACCCTGAGCCCCCTCATAAAGCGGCGCACCCTGGTCGGGAAATTCGCATCCGCGGCCTAAAATCCGGTACATACAGCTACATATGTAGGCATCTTCTCGGATGACAAGGCCGTACCTCCAGATTGCCGTTAAGGTCAAGCGCACGTTCCCAATTGAGAGTTCTCATGCGACATCTCTGATTCTACCCCGCGATTTGACAAACGACATGAACAACACAGCGATGATACCAATATCAAGCTGCAGACAAGCATCTCTTTGCCGTTTTTGGGTTGGAGATATCACGCTAACCCCAATCAGGCCATCAGATCCGGCCTCCGCAAATAGGCTTTATCTAATCGGATCGAGGTGTACCTCCAGGGCTAGGGACATATCGAGATACCTCTGACTTATTAAATAGTCTGCAAGCCCGGACATGTGGGAGAATCAAGTGAGTTTATTGCCTTTCACTCTTTAGCGGCTGCTTGACTCGAATTGGGGCTTTAACTTCATCATATTGAAATCATCTCCTTCTATATACCTCTAGCACAGCATGGTTCTCGACCGACTACAGCAACTGACTCACCAAGTGAGCGCTACTACACCGCTGCCTCATCCACTTGATCCTCTTTCTACGGTGGAGATTGATGCGGCTGTTAGCATTATCCGCAAAGAACATGCCTCACTGAACTTCAATGCGGTAACACTGTATGAGCCCCGCAAGGCCCAGATGATGGCCTGGGTGGCTGATCCAGAGAATACACCTCGTCCTACCCGAGCCGCCGATATTGTTGCCATTGCACCTGGCGGCAAGATCTACGACGGTGTGGTTGACCTGGACCAGAAGAAGATCATCAAGTGGCAGCACACACCGAATGTTCAGCCTCTGATCACCATGGAGGATTTGCAGGAGGTTGAACATATTGTGCGAAAGGATGCTAAGGTTATCGAGCAATGCAGTATTATTGGAATACCCAAGGAGGATATGCATAAAGTATACTGTGACCGTAAGTGGACGGAATTCCCGCACTCATCGAAGGTTGAACTGATCAAATGGCATTCTAGCATGGACAATTGGATACGATGAGCGGTTTGGAACTGGTGTCCGTCTTCAACAAGCCCTTATGTACTACCGCCCTCATCCCGATGACTCCCAGTACACCTATCCCTTGGACTTCTGTCCCATCTACAACTCCGAAACCAAGCAGATTGTCCACATTGATGTGCCGCCTGTGCGGAGGCCGGTCAGCAAGGCTCCTCCAAACAACTACCACCCGGCCGCAATCGAGAAAGAAGGTGGATACCGGACCGACCTTAAGCCAATTCACATCACCCAGCCAGAGGGTGTGTCTTTCGAAGTCAAGGGACGAACAATCGAATGGCAGAACTGGAACATCCACGTCGGCTTCAACTACCGGGAAGGCATTGTCCTGAACAACATCACCTTCAACGATAAGGGCAATGTGCGGCCTGTCTTCTGGCGTCTTTCACTGGCCGAGATGGTCGTACCATACGGCAACCCGGACCATCCCCACCAGCGCAAGCACGCATTCGACCTGGGCGAGTACGGCGGCGGATACATGACCAACAGCCTGACACTTGGATGCGACTGCAAGGGCGCAATCCACTACATGGACGCGGCATTCGTCAACCGGGCCGGCGCCAGCACAATCATCAAGAACGCCATCTGCATCCACGAAGAAGACGCCGGCATCCTGTTCAAGCACACCGATTTCCGCGACGAGTCCATGGTCGTAACCCGCGGCCGAAAGCTCATCGTCTCGCAAATCTTCACCGCAGCAAACTACGAGTACTGCGTGTACTGGATTTTCCACCAGGACGGCACAGTCCAGCTCGAGATCAAGCTGACTGGAATCCTCAATACCTACGCCATGAACTCAGGCGAGGATACCAAGGGCTGGGGAACTGAGGTGTACCCCGGCGTCAACGCCCACAACCACCAGCACCTGTTCTGTCTCCGTGTAGACCCGAACATCGACGGGTCGAGCAATACCGTCTTCCAGGTAGATGCGGTCCAAGGACCTGGTGAAGTTGGTAGCCTCGAGAACAAGTACGGCAACGCCTTCTACGCCAAAAAGACAAAGTTCTCCACTCCCATCGAGGCCATGTCCGATTATGACGGATCTACCAGCCGTACCTGGAACATGGCGAATACTAATAAACTCAACCCATACAGCAAAAAGCCTGTCAGCTACAAGCTAGTCAGCCGTGATGTTCCTCCCCTGCTCCCCAAGGCGGGCGGACTGGTCTGGAAGCGAGCAGGGTTCGCACGCCATGCTGTCCATGTCACTAAATGTGAGTTTTATCATTTCCCCCTTCTTATGTCGCGTTCCTTTTCTGACACAGTCTTCAGATGACGATGACCAAATCCACCCAGCTGGCCGGCACGTCCCTCAAACCTCCGGCGAGCCCTCGGAGGGTCTGCCGGCGTGGATCGAAGCTGCTGGTCCTAGTTGCTCTATTGATAACACCGACGTCGTGCTTTGGCACACTTTCGGTCTGACGCACTTCCCATCGCCAGAGGACTACCCGATCATGCCTGCGGAGCCAATGACACTTCTTCTGCGCCCGCGCAACTTCTTTGACCGCAACCCAGTCCTTGATGTGCCTCCTAGCTTTGCGCGTACACCTACGCAGGTTGCTGCTAACGCGAGCACTTGTGCCTGCAAGAAGAGTGATGGGTCCAGTGTGTTGGTTTGATTTGATGAGATTTGATGTTACTTTGGGTTTCTTAGTTTCTCAGCATGCGCTTCTTGTATATAGATTACACTTTTTCTTTTAGCAATTACTGATCTTGATTTACTTTATGATTTGTGGTGCTTTGATCTACCAAGTAGTTGTGGGCAATTCGGGTATCTAGCTATAGGGCGTAGATGTGTTAACCATTGGGCCACTTTTGCTGCTTCCTCGTTGATATTTCATTCCTGTTTGAGCCATGCTCAGACTAAAAAAGAAGGAAAAAGGAGAAGGGAGAGCCGTATGTTGTAATGTCTTTTGATTGGGAGCATGTAAATCCAGAGATATACATATCAGAGTGTAAACCTCGTCAACAACGCATAAACGCCTCGAAACATCCCAACGGGGAGGGAATCATGTAGTAAGAACCAAATAAACCATAAAAGCCTCGACACAATGTCTAGCCAACACGCAGAGACAAAACACAGGGATAGAGCAATTTTACGCCGACAATCCCCGCAACAAAGCCCTATCAACCTCCCTCAGCAACGCAAACAACTCCTTCCCACCCTCCGAATCCTTCCCCTCAATATCAAGCGACTTATGCAAGAACTTGCGCGCCTCCTCATAGCGACTCATCTCCGCAAGACACTTAGCAATCCGCCACCAAGCCTTAACATTCCCAACAGGCTTCGAGTCAACACTAGCCTTGGCATCAACCAGGGCCTCGGGCCAGGCCTGCAGAGCCATGTGCGCCTGCGCGCGGTTCGCATAAAGGCCCGACAACTCCTCACGCGCAACGCCCACAGGCTCCCAGCCCGGCCGGCTGAGCCCCATATCAATGGCGTACGAGTACAGCTTGATTGCCTCGTCGTAGTTGGATTTGCGGTGGGCGGCGTTGGCGCTGTCGCGGAGTTTGCTGATCTGCGCGCTGCGCTTGGGGTTTATGGGGAGGGGCGCGGGGGGGATGTTTGGTGGGTCGAGGCTGATTAGTGCGCGGTGTAGTTGGTTGAGTTCTTCCAGTTCGGTGTTGATTGCGGCTGTTTGGGAGGGTGTTTGTGCGGATGAGGTTGGGAGTGAGAGCGCTTTGGTGCTGGGCTCCATGTACAATGGGTATTGGTTGTAGATGTCGATTTCACTGGCCATTTTTGGGTTGGGGAGACCGTAGATCTCGTGGTTTTGGTGTGTACGGTCGGTTTTGCTTGTTCGGGTTGTTAGTATATGCGCTGCGGTGTGACTGGGGGATGGACGAGGTCTGATGGGGGAATGGGTTTATCCATACAAATAAAGTTCAGGGTGTAGTGTCTAGTTTTTCCGCAAAGCACAATTCCCTTTAACGTCAATATTCGGAGTTGTTCTTGTCAAGAGATGATGATGGCAAGAGGGCAAGCTGTCCATAAACCCACTGATATGGAAAGCGGTGGCAGAATGCTGACACCTTGTGCTAGCTATATCTTTTTCTTCTATGAGCGGGTTGAGAATATCGAATAAATTGATATGATAAAAGTTGACTATAGCATGGCTTCATACTCTGCAAAAAGGAAGTTGCTTTACGATCGGTTGACAAGATATCAGCCTCCGAGATATCATCTACATGTGTTGCCTACCAACATATCCTAACCTACAAAGCACCACCAGGACACATGATTTTACAATGCAATATATCTATATTTTGCTAGATCCAATGAAAGAAAAACAGGACATACAATCGTAATCACAAGGCCAAAAGGCCCTTGAGAAACCTGGTAAAGACAAGGGCGTCAGCCCAGAGTAAACAGCGATGCGCCCAACACCGCTCCATGGACAATATCCGAGGCGCAAAAAAAGCAAGACCACTCATCAATCCTCCGGGTATTTCACTAAGCTATGTCTCCATGTACACTGGCAACCCTCTTTACTCAACTCGGCCGTCTTCCGTAGCCACTCACCGATGAGCCGCCAAACCCAGTGGGAGCAGTGTACTCGGACGGGGTGTAATCCGACGGATTGTACTGAGTAGACGGCTCCGCATAGTGCTGGCCATGCGCACCACCATAGCCAGTGTTGTTGTAATCATGGAGCATGCCTCCGGGCGCGGGAGCCGTGGGATCGTAAGAGCCTTGCATCGCGGTCCGGCCGTGTGCGTTGCTCAGGTCATCCACCTCACTCTGGTGCAGAAGGGCATAATCCTCATCCCGGTCGCCGCGGGACGAGGCGCCCATGCCGCCGCCTCGGCCGGAGCGGATGTCATCGTCATCCTCCTCGAAGTCGTGGGCTGGGTTCGACGAGAACGCGGCTTTGCTCTGCGCGGCGAAAGTGGGATCGGAGACGGCGTCGGGTAGGGTGCCGGTGCGGCGGAAGTGCATCACGTTGCGGAAGGACATCCAGGCGGTGATGGCGAAGAGCACGCTTTGTTCTGTTAGTTTCATTTGGACCACTGTGTCTCGGAGTTAGAAGGAATCTCACGTACAAGATGAAAACACCGATAATGGTCGTTGCCTCGCTCAGCTTGCACTTGGAAGCGCTTCCGTACGCCCAATTATCGCATCCAGTCTTGGTGCTCTTGTCATTGTCCGCTTCAGCTCTCCTTGTGGTGGGCTTGGAGTCGGAGCTGGACTTGTCTTTGTCACTGCTCGAACCCTTGGACTTTCCTTGAGCGACGTAGGAAGCGAGACAGATCCAAGCACTGAGCCAGAGAATCGAATAGAGGATATCGACACTGGCGAAGGCATAGACGTTACCGAAGCGTCGGGCTCGTGGCCACATCGGCACTGCCACCAGGTAGATCAGGCCGGGGATACTCAGCCAGCACTGGCATTCGGCTGTACGTCAGAATAAAAGAGCGCTTTTTTGTATCAGAACGCAGGCATGGAAAACTCACCAGACCCCAGTACCAGCCTGTGCGTCCATCGATGCCGTCGCCTTTAGTCCAGATAGCGATGGTTAAGGCCCATGCGAGGAAGATCGTGAATCCTTGTATGAAATGTAGTATGTTTTTTGTCCGTCCGAGGCTTCCGCCTGACGGCATTTGAAACTTCATCTTGTGTGTAGGGGCGCTGCAAGGGTGTTGCGCTTTTTTGTATTGGCCCGGAGGGAAGGGAGGGGTCGGTCTCGGATTGAGTAGTCTATCGTGAAGTCATACGGGACACAAAGGGTGGGAGATGAGACAAGAACAGAGTCGAGACCTGAAGAATGAGACCTGGGACGGTCTGTCTTGGCCAGGCTGAGGCTCTGTGGAGAAAAGCTGTCGGTTTGTTTTGTTTTGATTGTTTTTCCGTCGCAACGTCCCAACTCTTGAAATTGTTAAAATCACAACGGTTGAGATATGTAAGTTGAAGAGTTGGATATTCAATCCGATAGATTTGTTTCTCTACCTTATCTTGGTGCCTCTTGTTTCCACAGGGCATACGTATGTCCTCCACATCCGCTGCCCAGGCGACAGCCCGTTACTATTTCGGGAACTCCGCCACACTCTTCTTGGCGTATGCCTCGTCAACTTACATCATAGTCTCATCTCTCATATACTCATACTAATATAAAGGGAAATCAAGTCAATCCCGCCTCTCGTGTTTGTTTCATCAACACCCAGATCTCTCGCAATGGTTGGTAGACATGTACTTCCCACCACCAGGGAAACGGATCAAGAAAAGAGAACAAGGGGTCTTTCCAGAACAGCAGCCTCATTATTTCTGTCTCTGCAACCTCAAGAGCTGTGAGTGCAAAGTGGAACGACGAAAACTGTATGAAAGGAGCAGGAAGAATGGCGGCTCGGGCAAATGTTGGCGCCGAATGGGTTGATGATAGTGTCGCTGCGATGTTGGCTGTATCGACTGGATTGGAAGGGAGCGCAGAGAGGTAACCTGCAATGGGGCAAGGCACATTATACAGCAGATTATCCACAGCTTTGGCACCAGGCGTACAGCCGGCGATGTAGATAGCGTGTCGGACAGAATGCGCATCGAACTCTTCATCGACCATGAGTCTGACAGAGAGATGGCCTGTCAAGCGAACACCACCTGTGGCTGCCAATTTCTGCATGAGCCTATGGACCGAAGCGGCCAGAGACTCATCTAGACGCGAGGCACCCCACGTAGACCAACCAGAGTCTGAAAGCCGAACTTTAATGGCTTGAACGTGGCCACGCACAATCACTAAGTCTGCGAATAGCTCTCCAAGACGAGATTGTTGCTGCAGAATCCAGGGCCGGTCCTTGGAGATCTGGATCTCGCTGATCATTGTGTACGTCTTGCTCAGCGTGCGTCTCGGCAAGAGCATAGCCTTCTCATTCGCAGATGGGGTCGCTCGGGAGATCTGGTAGGTTTTGGAGGGCGACCGGTGCAAGATCTTGTGCACAGAGTCGCGCGACTGGACCCTGTAATACTCAAGCACAGGAAGACCTTTGTCGATTACATACTGTCTGAAAGAATCAGGATGGGCGAAGCAAGCCGCTGCCTCGGCGTCAAAGGTGATGCACTTGCAGCTAGTGCGACTCTCAACGACTTGTCGGGCCGTCGCATCTTCGATGGACGATGCCTTAGGCGAGCATGGAATCCACAGGTCGACCTTTTCGCGGTGGATAACGTCGAGTAGCCGGGGGATGTAATGGTCCTTAGGGATCCGGTAGAATGCCACTACGGCCTTCGACATGCTCCCGCCGGAGCGCATGGGCAGGTCCAGGTCTGTAACATCGGCCCCAACCACGCGGTGGCCATCTACAGCCCATGACCTTGCCAGAGTCAGGCCGTGGACTGTGCCTATGCCCGTGATGAGGACTGTTTTCGGGTAAAAGTGTACATTCCGCTGTATTCCTCGGCGTTGAATAGCTAGCCGGAGATAAGCTAGAAAACCGGCAACCACGAGAATGGTGTTATCGACAAACAATACCGAGAATGAAAGGCATATTCGAAGGAGATGCCAGAACACTCGTGATGAAGTGACTGCAGCTTGGGCGGATTTGATCGACATGCCGAGTCTGTGTCTCATCGCAACGCGCATATAGATCTGCCCGCTCATTCGGCTATAGGTAATGGAAATAATGGACCTCGCAAGGCTAGCCTAGAAAATAGGACATCGTCGCTGACAAGGAGTGAAAATGTGAGTTGGGGGGCTGGAGACTAAGGAGGGGCTTGGCCTGCAGATCTAGTTCGGTGTGACGATGCACTTTCAAGATTAAACACTTCAAGTTAAATACCTCGATCTATCTGGAGAAGATCAAGGTCTCAGCATAAATTTCTCCGCATCTACCCTCCAGCTGGGAACGTACGGCAATTACCACATGGGATCATACTCCCGACCATGTATCAGTGCTCTCGGTACTAATTGCCTAGAGCGATATTTCCGAGGTATATGAGTTTCGCTCGGAATACTGACGAGTGGTGTGCGTGGTCCGACTCGGATTTACTCTGCTCTGTCTACTCGGATTTAATGTGGCTCTCCAAAGTATTCCAAGGGATGTGGTGACCCTAAGCTAGAAGCTATCGGCTCAAGTCAAGGAATCCCCTTCTTAGCAACACAATTCTCCTTTAAAGTCCTTTTCAAGCATGGCAGGGCGGAAGAGATGGAGGCTGGGGTGACCGTTATCAGAAGGCGAGGAGTCATCAACATCCCCGCCCAGATGCATTTCGGAATACATTCCTCACGGACATTCACGAAGTGGCCGAGTCAGCTCTATATGACCCACTTATCTCCGAGGCGAGTTGACATTTATAACTTCGCATGTCCGCATAGAATTCCTTGGGTTATTTATCTGATCCCCTTGCTTTAACCCCCAAGCCATGTCCCTACCAGTTTCCTCGGTAGGAATTGCATTTTGACCCTTTGATTGTGAGAAATCAGGCCAACTCATACTCTAGACTAACGCCGGCAAGGAGCTGAAGCTCCTGCATTACATCTATCGGCAGCCAAACCTGGATGAAATCCGGGGGCATCCCCAAAAAGTGATCGATCTGATTCACGAGTTTGAGAAAGACTCCCTTTTTATGAATGTTGGTGCCGAAAAGGGCAAAGTCGTCACCAATCTCATTGATGAACTCAAGCCCAAGACCATGATCGAGCTCGGCTGCTACGTGGGCTACTCTGCAATCTTGTTCGGCGAGGCAGTCCGTAGAAACGGGGGTGAACGTTACTTGAGTCTTGAGTTGAACCCAGAGTTCGCCGCAATTGCCAATATGCTCGTCGAACTAGCTGGATTGCGCGACTTTGTGTGTATCATATTCGGTCGAAGCGACTTGTCGCTACACAAGCTACTCACCTCGGGGGAGTTGAAGAAAGTAGAACTTCTTTTCATCGATCATTACAAACCGGCGTACACCACTGACCTCAAGCTGTGTGAGCACTTCGGGGCTATTGTGCCGGGTTCAGTGCTTGCTGCAGACAATGTTCTTTACCCGGGCAACCCGCCATATCTGGAATACGTCCGCAGCACGGTAGAACAGAAACGTGAAGCAGCCAAGAGTGGACCTTCCCAGTCATACAACACCACCGGGATGGCCGAACGCACGGTAGAGTCCTTTGTGGGTAAAGATGACGTGCCCACTTTCGATTTTGTCGGGAACCCGAACTTGGTGTATCAAAGTCAGCTATGCCAACCCGAGGGATTGCAGGTAGGTTTGAATTATCTTCCCAGAAGAGTCTTCCGGTGTCACTAACTGCAGTTGGGTTGACAGGATGCTATCGAGGTTACGAGGTGTGTGGGAGTGCAAATGGCATAGATGGGGAATGGCCAATGACGCGAACGGGACTGTAAAGCGGCACAAGCCGAGATTTCAAGAATAAAGAACGTTCATATATGATTATCAATCAGGCCCAGAGTACTCCGAGTGGAGATATTGCAACAGTCGAACATTGCCACTTCGGAAACCCGACTCGGCCTTTGGGGTGACTTTGGGGTGAACCCCACCCGAGCCAAAGTTGCCGTCGCCAGGACCTTCCCATGTTCCCCCGCTGAATGATTTCTGGGGACATATAAAATAATCTCTCTATCCACTGATTCTTCCCCTTCAACTAATTCTCAATCTATATCTCATCATGTCTACCAAGACTTACAATGTCGGTGTTGTCGGCTACGGCTTCAGTGCAAAGATCTTCCACATCCCCTTCGTGAAGGAGGTTCCCGAGCTCAAACTCTATGCAATTGTCCAGCGCACACCGAAGCAGGATGATGATGCCGAGAAGGACCACCCTGGTGTGAAATCTTTCCGTACTACTGAGGAGATGGTCCAGGACCCCGCAATTGACGTGGTGATCATCACTACTGCCCCCGATTCTCACTTCGCGCAGTGCAAGCTGGCGCTGGAGGCCGGCAAGCATGGTAAGTGCTAAGTGCCTAGGAGTCCAGATAGCAAGCGGTATAGACAAACTAACATGGAACTTACCAGTCGTCTGCGAAAAGCCCTTCACCCCCACCACCCAGGAAGCCGATGACCTCATCGCCATCGCGAAGAAGAACAACAAACAGCTTGCCGTGTTCCAGAGTATGTCTCGCCACCTAGCTCATTAAAACACCACTAATGCCTGCCCTAGATCGCCGCTGGGATGCCGACTTCGTAACCCTCTCCAAGCTCGTCAAGAACGGCTCGCTCGGCCGCATCTCCGAGTATGAGACCCACTTCGATCGCCACCGTCCCGAGGAGCCGGCCTCCGACTCTCACAAGTGGAAGAACAAGGTCATCCCTGGTGGCTCAGCGATCTATGACCTGGGAACCCACCTCCTAGATCAGGCCGTGCACCTGCTCGGGCTCCCCGCGCGGGTGACCGGTTTCATTGGCTCCGCCCGGGCGGCCAACACCTCTTCATACGAGGACTCCTTCACCGTTCTGCTGCACTATGCCAACGGCACTATGGTTACCGCCAAGGCGACCGTGGTCAGCCCCGAGGACGAGCAGCTGCGCTTCTGGGTGCGCGGTGACAAGGGTAGCTTCAAGAAGGTAAGAGCACCATCTACTTGTGCAGATCGCTGCGATGTAATGAAAAGCAAAAACTGATCTAATTGTATAGTACCACCTCGATATCCAAGAAGATCAGCTCAAGGCCGGCATCATGCCCCAGGACAAGGGCTACGGACGGGAGCCCAGCGAGCGTTACGGTGCTTTGACTACTATCCAGAACGGCAAGCCCGTCAAGGAGGTAGTTCCCACTGTGGAGCCGCCCACTTACACCGAGTACTACCGCAAGCTTGTCCGCGCTCTTAACGGCGAGGGTGAGCTCCCTGCTAGTGGTGCAGAGGCTCGCGAGGTCATTCGTTTGATCGAGTTGGCTCGTGAGAGTTCCCGCACTGGACGTACCTTAGGCGTCTAAGCTGAGGTTTGTAAAAAGCAAATAATGATTATGATATATTTTATAAAAGGCAATATAAACTGAAGTTTTGGATGGAATTCTTTGGTGCAATTAATGTAGTAAATACCGTCGCAGTTGGCAACTAAATAATTGGCATTACACAAGAGCATTTTATGAGCCAAAACTGTACATGTCTAATAATCTTCACTCTTAAGTATGTGGGATCCATCTGGACATGGCCATATCATAATAATTGTTGCCTAACAATGGGCGCTAGACTGCCACTAGGCTGTTGACTGGATTCTCACCGTCACATGCTATACACGAGCTAGGGGCCTGAGCATATTCTCTCCTCCACGAACGGGAGGCTTTCCCATTGTTCCACAGCCCTGAAGGATTAAATCTTGAGCCAAGAGATACTTGCGATGGATGTCAAATCGCTACCAGATTTTCGATTCTTTCCATATCCAGTCAGATATCCAGAGTCTAAAGAACTACCAACAGATGATCCAATTACCCTCAAAACATCGTCCTCATGGACTTACTGCGGGCCCCTCTTGACCCTCGAATCATGTAACCTGCCATCCTCCTTTAACACCTGGGCGGAAGCCACCATCAGCGGTTCAATATTACCCTCCTTATTCTCCTTCCTGGCCTATGTCCACGACTTCCTAACCAAAAACAACCAATCCCACTACTGGCTCACAATCAGAGCAAGCAAAGGCTCGGACGAATTTGACACCCCACGCTGGCACACGGACGATTTATTCTTCTCTCCCCTCCAACCACCAATAACCCATACAAGACGTGAATCGCTATTCTCACCAATCACTAATCTACTCAAATCCACCTGGACAGGACCAACAACAAACCAAAATCTCCCAACCCCAATCTCAACCTCCAACCCAAAGACCAAGCATCATGATCACCCACCATCTACACCACCAACCGCCCAAATCCCCTCTACAAGCCCCACCCCAACAAACTGGAAACTCACAACAACTCTCCTAGGCCCCGGAACCCTGTTCATCCCATCCGCGACAAACCGCCTAGCACGCGCCACACAGCAAGCTGCCAAATCCGCCGCCCGTGCCGCAGACCCAGACCATATATGCGTCTCCGTGCGCTGTGTCGGCTGCGCTATGGCGACAGAGTCGGTGCGAGCAAAGTTGGCCGTCGAACTGGGCGGACATGGGATTGTGCAGGCGTCGGCCGGGGAGTGTGTTTTCTTTCGGGTTGGAGAGGACGAGGGCGCGGTGCATTCTGAGCCGCGATCGCATGGTGATCGAGTTTTTGTTAATGTTGTGCCTGGCCATGAGGCGGATCTTAGGGCGCTTATGGCGAAATGGGGTATGGAGTATCCGCGTGCTTGGTGTGTGGGGTTGCCGTTGGTGATCGGGGAGGGGGAGGAGTGTTTGAGGGATGTTGGGGGTGAAATTTGATTCTTTTCTTTATGGGTATGTTGTAGATTGAGGTTGAAGACATATCACTATTATTTAGTATAGATGGATGCTGTCATGACCGGGTGTATCACAATAGCTGGGAGAGGTGCTTTGTGTGGCAATAAACTCCATTTTTTACTTCAGGGGTAGTCAGAGACAACCAATATATTCCAGTTGCATTCAGACTGAAGCCATAGAGTACATCGATGCGATGGATTGATGCATCTGAAATAGGAAATATCGTCAAGATCCCCGACAATGACGGTATGCCAAGCCGCTAGTCCCAAATAGTAGTTTATGTTACCAAATGCAAATCCGCTGAGTGGACAAGAAATTGGACCTGACATCAACCTCCAAGACATCGGCGAGTTGACATCCGCGGAGAAAGAGAGAAGGGCTGCGTGTTAAGCCGCACAGATGAGGTATTTCTCACTAAGAGGTACCGGTACATACGGATGGGGGGTTCTTCCTGGGGTTCTTCCTTTATATCCCCGACAGGGCTGAACCCCACAGTGAGATGTGTTTATGGGATTTGGTGCTGTGAGATCAGTGAACCCATCAGAGCCTAGAGCATATTCTCCCATCGGAGCGGAAGTCCAGCATGGCGCCATCCCCGCATGGACCGGCAACGCTATCTCACCCGACAACCTGGAATTTCGATATTGATCGGTATCTGAATCCGCTCGTGCCAGCGCCCAGATGGCATCTCGTACCAAGACCCGTCGCCCATATGCTGGGATATCGGGATAGACCACCCAAGCCAATAGGCAACATCGTGGTCGCCTTATGGTCGTTGCTTGGAGCATTTTGCGGAGTGGCTTTGGTCGCATCCGTTTCGAAACGGGTGCCTTCTTTTCAAGCGCATGATGCGACAGCGATTGTTGGCAGTTTTGTGAGTCGTGGCGGGTCTGACGTGAGAGCAGAGTTGAACAAGAACAACCTAAGGCTGACTCTATGATTCTTTGATAATAGGGTGCGGCGGCAGTTATTGAATTCGGCGCGATCGACTCCCCGTTCGCGCAACCACGCAATGCGATCCTCAGCCAGGTCATTGCCTGTTTCTTTGGTGTCGGGATATCGAAGTTGTTCGCCTTGGACTCTCGTGCCGAGGCGTATACTGAGCTTGGGGGTGCTCTCGCTTGCGCTCTTACCACTGCTGTCATGCTTCTTACCAATACTACACACCCGCCGGCGGGTGCGACCGCTCTTCTGGCGGTGACGCACTCTCAGACTGTTGCTTTAGGCTGGTTTCTGTTCCCGGTCATGTTGCTTGGAGTCACGCTTATGCAGGCTGCGGCCGTGGTCCTCAACAATATCCAGCGTCGGTATCCACTGTACTGGTGGACGTCACATCCTCTATCGCCATCTCGAGGGGATGTTGAAAAGGCTAGTCAAAAGGAAACACCTAGTGTTGCTAGTCATTATGAGGATAGTCTGACTGATGTTCCTCGGCGGTTGATAGTAGAACATGGTGATATTTCGGTGCCTGATGGAATATTGCTTTCTGCCGAGGAACGAGAGGTTTTGGAGAGAATCAGTGAAAGACTTTGAGGGGATGGTACAAGTTTAAATATTAGCTGCATGTTATCGCAAAGATAGCCCATGTTATCGTCCAGTCGTATCACACAAATCAAAGTGGCGAAATAGACACCTCAGGCATTCACTGCGGTGACGTCTCTCCCAATCAAAAGCCACGGCCCACTGATTGATTTTTTTTTGTTCGAAAGTATTTAAATCCTTGAACTTGCCAACTCACTCTACCTTCTAGGCAAAGAAACAAACTTATAAGAAGGGTACAGTTCTACCCTCAATCTCTCTTTTCTTCTCTTTTTTTTCCCTCGCTGACAATCGATAGGATTCTATCGATAAGGGCAAAACACCCAACTCCACTGCTCTACGCCCCTCGATTTCTGTCCGCCCCGCCAGGCGATCCACTCAGCCTTTTTGCATTTCTCTTCAATCTCTTTTCGCATTGTCATCCTTTCTCCTCTCCCTACCTTTGCCTTCCGTCTTCCCTTACTTCTCTTTTTTACCCCCCTTTTTTTATACCGTCACACCCGCAACCATGGTTTCCGCCTCGAAGGCTGCCCGCATGGCCAAGCGTGCCGACGAGAAGAAGCCCAAGAAGGCCGCCAAGGTCGAACTCGATGCCCACGGAAACCCAATCGTCGAGGATGCGCCCGCCACCAAGGATCAGTCCGCCGTTGATAAGCTCACAGCCCAGATGGATAAGCACGGTCTCTCCGATCGTGTCACCACCGGTGTGCTGTCATCTCTGCCCGCTTCTCGCGACGTTAAGATCACCTCTTGCTCCCTTGTGTTCCACGGAAAGGTCCTGGTCACCGATTCTACCCTCGAGTTGACCTTCGGCCGTCGCTACGGTCTCCTCGGTGAGAACGGTTGCGGAAAGTCCACCATCCTCAAGTCCATTGCTGCCCGCGAGTACCCCGTCCCTGAGCACGTCGATATCTACCTTCTGAACGAGGGTGCACCTCCGACCGACTTGGGTGCCCTCGATTGGGTCGTCCGCGAGGCTGAACGCCAGTTGGACGAGATGGAGAAGAAGGCCGAGGAGGTCCTCGAGGAATCTGGCCCTGACAGCCCTATTCTTGAAGACCTGTACGACGTACGTATTTTTCCAGTTTGCTCTCCTTGATTCTAGAACAGAAGCTAACTATTCTATACAGCGCATGGACAAGATGGATCCTTCCACTTTCCACGTTCGTGCCTCCCTCATTCTGACCGGTCTCGGCTTCAACAAGAACACCATCAACAAGATGACCAAGGACATGTCCGGTGGTTGGCGTATGCGTGTTGCCCTCGCCAAGGCCCTGTTCGTCAAGCCCTCTCTGCTCTTGCTTGATGACCCCACTGCCCATTTGGACTTGGAAGCTTGCGTGTGGCTGGAGGAGTACCTGAAGAAGTGGGATCGTACTTTGATCCTGGTTTCTCACTCCATGGATTTCCTGAACGGTGTCTGCACCAACATGCTCGACATGCGTGGCCAGAAGCTCCTTTACTACGGTGGTAACTACGATTCGTACCACAAGACCCGTAGTGAGCAGGAGACCAACCAGATGAAGGCCTACGCCAAGCAGCAGGAAGAAATCCAGCACATCAAGAAGTTCATTGCTTCCGCTGGTACCTACGCTAACTTGGTTCGTCAAGCCAAGTCTCGCCAGAAGATTCTCGACAAGATGGAGGCCGATGGCTTCATCCAGCCCGTCATCCCCGACCGTGTCTTCACCTTCCGCTTCGCCGACGTTGAGAAGCTTCCTCCCCCAGTTCTTTCCTTCGATGATGTCAGCTTCTCTTACTCCGGTAAGTGGGAGGACACTCTGTACGAGCACCTCGACCTCGGTGTAGACATGGACTCCCGTACCGCCCTGGTCGGCCCCAACGGTGTCGGCAAGTCTACCCTGCTCCGTCTCATGACCGGCAAGCTCAGCCCCATCGGTGGCCGCGTCTCCCGTCACACTCACTTGAAGCTCGGTGTTTACAGCCAGCACTCCTCCGAGCAGCTTGATCTCACCAAGTCTTCCCTGGAGTTCGTCCGTGACCGCTTCCCCGAGAAGTCCCAGGACTACCAGTACTGGCGCCAGCAGCTCGGCCGCTACGGTCTGAGCGGCGAGGGCCAGACTGCCCTCATGGGTACCCTGTCCGAGGGCCAGAAGTCTCGTATCGTCTTCGCTCTGCTTGCCATCGAGTCCCCCAACATGATTCTGCTGGACGAGCCTACCAACGGTCTCGATATCCCTACCATCGACTCATTGGCCGATGCCATCAACGCCTACAGCGGTGGTGTCGTCGTCGTCTCTCACGATTTCCGTCTCCTCGACAAGATTGCCAAGGACATCATGGTCTGTGAGGATAAGACCATTCGCCGCTGGGACGGCTCCATCGGCGACTACAAGAATTATCTCCGTAACAAGATGATGTCCGCCGGTGCCGTTTAAGGGCTTTATTGATTCTCTTTGTCCAACTTTGTTCAACTTCTTCCCCCCCCCCAAATATTGCCCCTATTGATGACGACGAAATGCTAGACGAGAACTGAAGGAATACAAATGCCCACATCGTGGCACTAAAAGTTTGGGTCCCGCAAACAGGGACATTCCAACGAAAAAGTTCCTTGGATTGGGATGGTTTTCATTTATTTTCTTTTTGTCCGTTAGATCGTTTGTCCTTGCCTCCTTTCCGAATAGATTTTGGGCTATGGAGGATTTGGGACTCTTGCGTTTATTGCTATCATGAACTCACTACCCCTGATTCGATCCGTCTGTTCTTGGCTTTTCTGTCTTGTGCATCCTTGATAGAGTCTCTAGTCCTCTCTTCCGAGGTGAATATAAAGGATGCCAGTTACGCTGAATATATCCGTATGACTTGTGATTCTCGCTCAAACAATAGGCTGTATTCTCTCAGTCTCTGTACATAGTCTTACTTGTATACATTAGTTGGGCTTCCTCTGGATTGATAGTTCCGAGGTTTGTCCATATCCTGTCTATGTAATAATCCCCATCAATAGTGTTGTCATGACACTGATGATCGGCCATGGGACTAATTCAAGAATTGCCAATGCCTTTCTTCTCTTCCTTGTTATTCTTATACCAACACTAATAGAACACATAGTGGCGGCGCAACAAGCGACAAAGAACATCAACAATGGCAATATTATCTCTCATTGTCTTTCTTGTCTCTCTCTTTCTCGAACAAAGAACCAGATCCAAGTCAGCACCAACAAGACATAAATAAATACCGCCGGATCTCACCACAATCCCCATCCGATCCAGCATCTCATTCTCCGCAGGCAGATCTAGGTAAGCCCTCACACATTAACCCACTCACATACTAGAGACCAGTCTACATAGATACACACCGAGCCATCAGGAGAATGGACGGAGCTCGCGTGCGTCCCGACAATTTCCGGGAGATTTATGCACAAGCGTGCGAAGCCTTCACGCACAAGCTGCAGTGCCAAGTATTCGTTCTCTTGAGCCCATCCCCCAGCCCTGATATGGAGGAGATCCCGACACGGCTGGCGGAGCTCTGTGAACGGGTGATTCAGATTGGATTCTTGGGTGAGGTTGGCGAGTGCGGGATCCGGGATGATAACCGCGTGCGTGTCCGTTGGGGTTCACTTCCTATTAAGGAGATTTGCTTCGAGATTAAGTGGGAACTGACGGTTCTCAAGGATGAGCTTGCGAGCGGTGATTCATCTCCTCTGGTTGTTGCGGATCTTCTAGTGGGTATCTTGGATTCTTTGCCTTTTTGAATATATCTTATTTTTATCGTGCTTGGTTTTTGTTTATGGATTTGTAGTGTAGGACTTGTAGGACTTGTAGGACTGGGATTGATCTTTGAGGTCATTCTTTGGAAATGTGTCATCGTATCCCGACGTTTGGTGCATCTAGGAGTGTGCCCGTTGTGGTATTTGAGACTAAGATATTTGTGTGTTTGGATTCAATGGCTTGCGTGATCATCACTGCTTGGTTCGCTGAGTGACCAACTCCGGACCAAAAACATCATCGTTCTGACGGACGATCTGTTCTTGTTCCAATTTCCGCTTTTTCGCTAGGCGTTCTGTTTCGCTTTCAGAAGTGATAGTTCCAGTGTCACTTTGAACAGCAGTAGATGGTTGGGTGGATTCCCGTTTCTGAGCAGCTAGATTCACCTTCTCGGGGTTCTGACAATGATATAGTTTCTTTGCGATGCGCTTGAGGCTCTTCATTTGCGCGGGGTCGGATGAGAGGGGCGTGTAGGATTGGAGAAGAGTAGAGCATTCAGTCAAGACATGATGCAGCTTGGAGCGGATTTCATATAGAGGGTTCACCAGGCCATTTTCGTCAGTTTCGGGGGCAGGGATTGTGGCTGTGACAGGACCACCAAGTTTCACATCCAGCAAAAACTCGGCTAGGGGACGATCCGCTAGTAAAAAGGCCGAAAACCAGATCTGGGATGGTGTGTACAAGAAGTAGGCGTCCGTCATCTGCGCAGCGGATTTCAGCAGCTCACGAGTCGTGCCGTGGGCGCGAGCGATTCGATCTGACATTGAGGACGATGGAACGGGAGGAGGTGCGATGGACAGCAATCCTTGTTGGAGATCTTCTGCGGTTTCATACGGTAGATGGGGAGCTGGCTGGCCTTGGCCTTGTGCGATGGCTTGTAGTTCCATGACGCCGCCTTCGAGTCCCCGGAATGGATGCCGCACATCAAAAGTGAAACGGAGTCCCTGCATGAGTAGGAATTCTGGTGCGATTACGTCGTCTGTGGTTGTGTCGCCAGGGATTCCGTCTGCAAATTGGCGAAGAGAAATATAGTAATTATCAGTTTTGGTAGCGACGAAGAGCGCACACGCCATGATCGACTTTGGATGGTATGTCATGGGTGAATTGGTTAGGTAGAAGCGGCGAAGGTATTGGATCGCGGTGGCCTGTATGCGGAAAACGAGAAAAGTCAGTTTCTCAACATTCATATGTGCTGACTTTCAAGGAAGGAATGAAGTCCCGTAAAGCTTAACATACCCGGACCATTGTCGGAATTGGTGGCTTGTACGTCTCTCCCAGCTCTAGCGTCTTCTCGCAGTAATATCGCACGAGAACGAGCTCCTCCTCCGGCGTCAAGCATTCGACATCCTTCTCATCTTTGTTCTTAGCTTCCGTATTGCTTTCCGGTAGTGGTGTTCCCGCCGTGGAGGATGCGGTCGACTGATGAGTTTCGCGCGATCTGCGCAAAGCGGCGCGCACGCGCTCGCTTGCAACAGCATTTGTCGTGGCTCTGAGAGATTGCAGAGATGACTCGGTGTATGACCATAGTCGGTACTGCGACGAGGCACGGTAAATGTCGTCTTCAATCATGGTGCTGGTGCTCTTGACTTGTTAGAAGAATGAAAGGCTGGAAACCTTTATTCTTGGGTGGAGATAATGGCCGGCGCCTTATAGTATCACCAGAAAGAGACTCTGAGCAGGAAGAGGCGGAAAGTGTACGGCTGTTCTAGTCTGAGAATAAGTATTCGACAATTATCAATGAGCCTAGCAAATACCTAATCCGCTTGGGTTGATCCGAGGGAGGTTGCTCGGAGCTGGTGCTTATCGATAACACCAACCAGTCCTGTCTAAAGCCTTAGGACATCAACTCATTATATTGGAGGGGCGGATTGGGGTTATTGTCTTAATTTGTTGGTTTGAATTTCGATTAAAAGCTATGTGGCAAATATTTGACATGCTTAAACCACCCAATGCAACCCATTCATATTCCATATGTGCTTTTGCCGCATTCCAACCCGAGTTCACCCAAGACATCAGAATATACATGTACATCACTCACCGAGAAGTCGGGCAGCAATCTCACCCATAGAACCTTCTCCCAACTCGTACTCTTGACCTCCTCGTCGTTCGACACCGACATGTCGGAAAGCAGCCACAACACGATTAACGTCGAAGCCCATGCTGGAGAAACGGTCGATCAAATTCTTGTTGTATCCGTCATATCTATAGATAATAGTCAGCAACCATACCAAATGAATGGTAGAAAAGCAACTCACTTTGCAAGACTGTCTTCGCCAGCTCCTTGCCGGGTGTCATCTAGGCTTGATCCGCTTCCATTGTCAGCACTAGCCACGGGAGCTCCAGCATAGACGACTGCCCAGTCGCGTGCAACACGCTCAAACTCCTTGGGTGACTTGAGAAGCATATTAGCCACTTCAGCATCCTGGGGATCTTTGGGCTCGGGTGTGCTGAGCAAAGATTGCAGCGAAAGCAAAGCGGACTTGATAGTCAGAACCGGTGACCAAGCACTGGAAAGCGTGTCGAGGCAGATTGCACCCTACATTGGCTATCAGAATCCAATGTTTCTCATATATTATCGTGAAGAGGGTACTGACCGTTTGGCTGCTGACATTTGGATGCCACACTTTGGTCTCAAACTTCATGGTAGGTGGTCGGAAAGGGTAGTCGGTTGGGATTTTGATATCGATATTGTAGGTGCCACCTTCATACGGGGTGCCAGGTGGCCCTGGAAATGACCCCCTTAGGTGAGTGACATCGTCCTGGTTGCCAAATGGCTCCGCCTTGATTTGGGAGTGGGCATCGGCATGAATGTCTGCAATCTCTTTTCCAATGCGACGCATACGATTGCTAGCCATTCCGATTCGAGAACTCGTTTCGAGAGATGAAATCGCTTTATGTGAAAATTGTGGAGACAAATAGATCTATTTCCGTCTTGTCAAAGACCGTACAAGAGCGTGGAAACTGCCGTTGAGAGGAAGACGGAGTGGGGCTAATAGTAGGAGGATGGTGTTAGGAAAGTTTCAGATCAAGTAAAGGATATCACAGCCAGAGTACAAAATCCTCTAGGGAATTGAAAGTCAAGATAAACGACAATCTCACCAAAGGAGGGGAACTATACGGGGAACCAGTATAAGTGATGAGCTCAAACACCTGTCACCTGTTATCACTTATATGCGCCTGAGATACAGACCTTGAGCAAAAACGCGACTGTTAAGCCTGAAATGCGGAAGATAGTCTGAGTATAGAGCCTCGGTGGAATATAAATTTCTTTGATTGTCTTCGAGAATGCCGGAGGTCCAGGCAAATGCCGAGGCGTTAAGGCAATAAGGCGCTAACTAATGACGCAGTAGCGGCCTGAGGCTGGAATAGTCACGTGTGGACCAAACAGCTTCCAGCTCGCCCCAGCGTCGACCTCCAGCGATACCACCACATCTGCATTGACAATCCATCCATTTCAACTCGCCTTTTCCACCATTCAATACTATTTAAGGCTCAGGATCCACCGTACTCTGATTACATTTGCAACTTCATACCAGGGATTCTGATTGTCTCGCTCTCGGTGGCTTACAAAGATGGTGAGTGTCCCAATCTTGCCCTTTGGGAGGCCATCGCTTTCTAACATTCAAAACTAGGGTCAACAGCAGTCTAACCTGGGCGGCGGCCCTGGAGGCGATGGACGTGATGACAAGGATAAGAAGGTCTGATTCTAACTCATTTCCTTTGCTACACAACTAGCACTAAGACCATCTTTCATTCATCAGAAGGACAAGCCCAAGTACGAACCTCCCCCACCACCTACGACTCGTCTTGGAAAGAAGAAGCGCAAGGCTGCCGGCCCAAGCACTGCCGCCAAGCTCCCCGATATCTACCCTACGTCGCGATGCAAGCTACGATACCTTCGCATGCAGCGTGTTCACGACCACCTGCTGTTAGAAGAAGAGTACGTTGAGAACATGGAACGAATGCGCAAGGCCAAGGCCCGGGCCACCCAGGATCCCGCCAGGGGAGGTGCCGACCTGGATGTGATGGATCGGAACGCCGATGAGCGGAGTCGAGTCGATGACATGCGAGGCAGCCCGATGGGCGTCGGCAACTTAGAAGAGTTGATTGATGATGACCATGCTATTGTCTCAAGTGCCACCGGCCCTGAGTACTACGTCTCGATCATGTCTTTCGTTGATAAAGATCTCCTCGAGCCGGGTGCCAGTATTCTTCTACACCACAAGTCAGTGTCTGTCGTTGGTGTACTGACGGAGGAGTCTGACCCCCTTGTCTCGGTGATGAAGTTGGACAAGGCGCCGACGGAATCATACGCTGATATTGGTGGTCTGGAGCAGCAAATCCAGGAAGTTCGAGAATCCGTGGAGCTGCCCTTGCTACACCCCGAGCTGTATGAAGAGATGGGTATCAAGCCCCCTAAGGGAGTGATTCTTTACGGTGCCCCAGGTACCGGAAAGACGCTGCTTGCTAAGGCCGTTGCCAACCAGACAAGCGCGACCTTCCTCCGCATTGTTGGCAGTGAACTGATCCAGAAGTATCTGGGTGATGGCCCCCGATTGGTTCGCCAGATCTTCTCAGTTGCTGCTGACCATGCTCCATCCATTGTGTTTATCGACGAGATTGATGCCATCGGTACGAAGCGATACGACTCGCAATCAGGCGGTGAGAGGGAAATCCAGCGAACCATGCTGGAGCTTCTGAACCAGCTGGATGGATTCGATGATCGTGGTGATGTGAAGGTCATCATGGCTACCAACAAGATCGAAACACTGGACCCAGCTTTGATCCGACCTGGTCGTATTGACCGTAAGATTCTCTTCGAGAATCCAGACCGTAAGTGATACCCTGATACCCGCTGCTTCGTTGAGAGTCGCTAACAATTTTTTAGAAAACACCAAGAAGAAGATTTTTACTCTGCACACATCGAAGATGTCTCTCGGTGACGACGTTGACCTCGAGGAGTTCATCAGCCAAAAGGATGATCTTTCTGGTGCTGACATCCGCGCTATCTGTACCGAAGCTGGTTTGATGGCCTTGAGAGAGCGCCGCATGAGGGTGCAGATGGACGATTTCCGAGCTGCTCGTGAGCGTATCATGAAGACTAAGCAGGACGGCGGTCCTGTGGAGGGTCTGTACTTGTAAGCGCTGGCAATTATTCGAGGGTACAGTGCCAGAGTGCTTGCGCTGCAGACCTGTACTCAGCTAGGTCTATTGTGTATTGTAATAATCGAGTGACGAACGAATCTAAAGGGCGCAGCGCCCAACTATTTCCCTGAATTTATCCATAGACATACATTCAAAGTACAAAATTCGCCTGTTGTACTCCGTAGGTATGTATATATATGCCTGTGCCAAGCACTTCGGCTTATCAGTCTGCTGCAAACACTGCAAACAAGCTCACTATCAGGTCGAAGCCTCTCCGTCTGTCGCAAAGTTTCTCATACACTCAACCATGGATGAATTCGACGAGGAAGAATTCAACAAGTTCTTTCCCTCCAGCTTTGGGAAACAGGCTAAATCTGTTGATGTTGAGTCCCAGATCGACCGATCCAAGCGTGCCAATGTTTCGGCTCCGAAAGCCGAGAGCAATGAACTAAGAAGCACTGGCACGATAGCCCCTAGCGCAGAAGCAGGAGGCAGCGAGGATGAGCGAAAAGACAGCAACGATAATAGCGACGAAGACTCCGACGATTCAGATGATGAGGATGAATTTCCCGTATCGCATGAGCTCGTTCTCAAGGCTCATGAGCGTGCCGTGACCACCATGACCGTGGACCCCTCGGGGGCCCGACTAATCACAGGTTCTACCGATTGCACACTGAAACTACATGACTTTGCGTCAATGACTCCATCTACGCTCCGCGCTTTCAAGTCCGTCGATCCTTCAGCCAAGAAAGCGACGGCGGCCCAGGACACCCACGCCGTGCACTACGCCGCGTTCAATCCGCTCTCCCCAAGTTATGTCCTAGCTGTGACTGCCACTCCGCAGCCACGAATTCTCAGCCGTGATGGTGAGATACTCACAGAATTTGTGAAGGGCGATATGTATCTACGAGATTTGCACCATACCAAGGGACATGTGTCTGAGGTTACTTGTGGTGCATGGAACCCATCTGATCCTAACCTCTGCGCCACTGCTGGAACAGACAGTACAATTCGCATCTGGGATGCTAGTGTAGGCCGCTCGCAGAGGGAGGTGATCGTGCACAAGTCACGGGCGGCTGGCTCCGCTGGTCGGACTAAGATGACTGCCATCGCATGGGGCTCCCCGAAACAAGGAGGCGCCGACATTCTGGTAGGTGCGGCTCTCGATGGGAGCCTATCTATGTGGAGTGGAAAGGGCCCATACACAAGACCCAGCGCAGAAATCCGGGATGCTCATGTCAAAGATTCATGGACAAGCGGTCTTGATATCAGTTCCGATGGAAGGCTTGTTATCACAAGAGGTGGTGATGATACGATCAAGCTATGGGATACCAGAAAATTCAAGACTCCAGTCACAACCGCCACGCATACCTCGACATCTTTCCGGTATCCGACATCCAACATCCAGTTCTCTCCTTCGTCTGCCAATGTCATCACAGGCTCTGAAACCGGCCACCTGCACATCCTCAACCCCGCTACTCTGAAGCCAGAGCTCGTCACCCCCGTGACACCTGGGTCACCCTTGGTTACTGTTCTATGGCACGAAAAGCTCAATCAAATTATGACGGGCTCCGCCAATGCTGAAACCCACGTCCTCTACAACCCGACCATGTCCACGAAGGGCGCAGCGACGGTCATGTCCAAGGCACCAAAACGCCGCCACGTCGATGAAATTGCCATCACCACGGACTTGAACCAGGGATTGTCAGGTGATTCGGTGGTCGTCGGCTCCAACGGAGTTCCGCATTACAGCTCGGCAACCATGTCTGCTCGTCATCCTACAGTTGGTTTTACAGCCTCTGGTCGCTCGAGGGATCCTCGCCGACCGCATTTGCCGATGCAGACACCGTTTGCGAAGAATACCCCGGATGAAAAACACATCCTCGAGCATATTCCACTCAGTTCTATGCGAGATGAGGATCCACGTGAAGCACTCTTGAAATACGCCGACAAGGCGGAGAAGGAGCCTGTATTCACCAAGGCATACAAGGAAACACAACCAAAGGCCATATACGCGGAACTGAGTGATGGCGAAGAAAAAGGTCCGAAAAAAAAGAAAGCAAGGCGATGATTCGCTTGGAGATGTACTCTATTCACCACGATTTTTGGTATCACAAGGGACCCGTTGGGTTGCAATGACTCAAATCTAGGCTCAATCTAGCTGCCTATGCAATATATAACATGTAGTAACTTGTAGTTTAAGTCCTACCAGACCCAGCCCCTTACATCGCTCTGAGGTGTCCCCTCTTTTGCTGCTCCATGACGTCCCTCAACAGCGCGACGATCCCCAACTGCCCACCCGAACCGCCAATGATATGTATCTATGAAAAGAACCGCACGAGCTTTGACCGCGCGCAAGCGTCGCCTTTGAATTCATATATGCGTTGTGGAACGTTAAATTACCGCGTAGGCTCCAATGACCACAAGGAACCTTGGGAAGCGGCTCCCCCGGAGTTTGTTTGGTGCTGACATATCAATTATCTCCGCGGCGCAACCTCCGCTCTGTAAGGCTGCCTGCCGCTTTCCCAAACCTCTTCATACTCATTACTCCCAATATTTGCGCGAGAAATTCGGGTTACCCGAACAGAATGCGGTCCTTTGCGACTTGAGATCAAATGCTCACCGTCGAAACTGGGTGTTCGTTTTGATCGGCCGTACCCGCCGGAGAGCTGGGGTGTGTAAGGGGTGCTTGATTCCCCGCCGAAGCGTCCGATAAACAGTACTCGAATACTGGGATCGCATAGTTTCAGACGAACTGATGGCATCCTCCCAGTCGTCGCTGGTAGCAAGCCTGCTGCCTGGTCTTCTTTCTTCGGCCGTCTCCCCGTCAAGATCGTCCATATCTGCGAGTTCTTCTATCCACCAACGTTTTGTCGCACCATCAAACTCCACCTCAGGGACTCCTCATGACCATGATGGGAGTAACGGGGGAAGCATGCATGAATGGTCATCGCTCATTGGAATTATTACGGCTTTATGCGGCAATGTTTTGATCTCACTGGCTCTCAATATCCAACGTTACGCGCACATTCGGATCGCAAGAGAATGGGAACAGGCAAAGAATCGCAACGGGGGATTTGGAAGCAATGGAACGCGCGTCGGGTTGAGGGGAAGATCCCGGGCCCAATACCGAGACTCCGAGCAGAATGACTTTGAACCTTATCGCGACGATGATGGCGACGACACCGAGGGGAGGAACCCTGGTTTAAGCTCGCGTGCCACTAGCACCGGAAGTAAGGATGGTGCAGGCGGAAACCGCAAATCCTACCTCAAGTCTCCGTACTGGTGGATTGGAATCGTGCTCATGGTTGTAGGCGAAATGGGCAATTTCATGGCCTACGGCTTTGCGCCGGCATCGATTGTCTCGCCATTGGGAGTCGTGGCTTTGATATCGAATTGCATTATTGCGCCATGCTTGCTTAAGGAAAAATTCCGCAAGCGAGATCTCTGGGGCGTGCTCGTCTCCGTTGCTGGTGCCGTCGTTGTGGTTCTCAGTGCTAAATCGTCTGAAGAACAAATTGGGCCTGGTGAAATTTGGGCGAGCATCACTCGATGGGAGTTCGAGCTCTATCTCGGGTTGACTACGTCGTTGATTATCGGTCTCATGTGGGCAAGCCACCAGTATGGCTCACGATCGATTCTTATTGATGTTGGGCTCGTTGCATTATTTGGTAAGTCTCTAGTAATTTCTAGTCTTTGGGCTCTTTTCTGCTTGGTCTTGTTGCTGACCATACAAAACAGGCGGATACACGGCTCTTTCTACGAAGGGTGTCTCTTCGCTTCTGTCTGGCACATTGTGGCATGTTATTACATTTCCTATCACGTATCTTCTTGCCTTCGTCCTTGTCTCCAGTGCATTAATGCAAATCCGTTATATCAATCGTGCTCTGCAGCGCTTCGATTCCACCCAGGTGATTCCGACGCAGTTTGTTCTCTTCACTCTCGCTGTCATCATTGGAAGTGCGGTCCTTTACCGTGATTTTGAATCGATAACAGCCCAGCGCGCGGCAAAGTTTGTTGGCGGATGTCTGTTGACTTTCCTTGGGGTTTACTTCATCACGAGCGGTAGAGTCCGCGCCGACAATGAGTCGTCATTTTCGTCCGAAGACGAGGAGGGGTCCATTGGCTTACTCAATGGCGAAAGGTATTATGACAGGATTGATTTGCCCCCGCCTGGCCGTCAACCGCCGAAGACATCAGACGTTTCCTTAGAAACACAATATGACGTTCCACAGTCCCCAAGGGGGTCCATATTGAGCCAACGCACTGATGGAGTCGATGATGATCAGTATACTCCTAGAGGCGTTATTTCCGCCGCGCCCTCCTCGCCTCTTGGATCTTTAACCGATGCATCTCCTCTATCTGCTCCGTCTTTTGAGTACACGTCACCGTTGCGGCCCCCATCTCGCATGTCCAACCCATGGGCAGACATCGAAGAGCAGGTTGTCGTGACCCCGCAGTCTGATATCCGCCCGATTACTCCTCCCGGACAGGAAGACGAGGCGGCACAAGCCTCAACAGTCCTCCTGCGGTTCCCTCCTGCACCCGGTCTTGAAGAAGCAGCCCGGGCCATTGATAACGTCGGTACTGTCCGACGTGCTTCAACCCCCACGACTTTAGATCAAGCCACCCAACCTATTCGCAACGATCCCCCCCTTGAAACACCGTCACGGCGCCCTTTGCGCAGTTCTATCTCTCATCGTTTCTCCCCTGGGCCTCTGCTTCCCACACTTTCCGGTGGCTTCACTGCAGTGGTCGCTGATTCAATCCGGCGTGGCGATGGTAGCCCTATCAAGGATCGAACAAGGCGGAGATTGCAACGTCGGCGTCCACTCGACGGCGCTTTTGCAGATCCATCTCTCGAAGGAAATAGTGACGCAGCGCTTTCACTTGCAACTGCTCGCCTTCAGTCGGCCACCAGCCTAGCGGACAGACCTGCGGATGCTGGCCATTCGACCGAAGCTCTCGCGACAGAAATAAATACCGCACCAAGGCAATCCACCAACAAAGATGTGACCCGTCTTCGCAGCCTGAGTGACTCGTGGAGTGGTGGGCTTGCATGGCTGGGTGGCGCCCTTCGTAAAGCTCAGAACACTAAAACAGCCGACAGTGTTGCTGCTACGGGGACGCCAACACCAGAGAATCAGACACAGCCCGAGCCAAGCTACAACACCGGTGATTCTGACACTGAGACGGAAGCTCGGCGATAATCAACTCAAGATCCCCTAACTCTGATGCATATACACCCCTCTTTCCTCGATTATTACCCTTGGCGCTTTTTTCTGGTAGATTTCTTTCGGCATATTCTTGTAATTGGCATTTTATTCTGCGGATATATGTTTAATATTTTGTCAACGTATCTTTTTTCTTTCACATTGTATACATAACTCACAAAGGAGAGTTCAGTGTTATTAGCCACTAATCTTACCTTTAGCCTTTTATTCATTTAATCTGCCTATATTGCTCCCTGCCACACATAATTCCTCACGCCAGGGCCCCGGAAGTATCTCACCCCCCGGAGGAAACGGGCAGCTCTAATAGGTGGAAAAGGCAGAGAACAGGCATTACCGCCCAGGAGGCGCACCTAGTTACCCCTAGATCCCTTGATTATCCTCCGCTTCTCAAGGCATTTTAGCCGGAAGGCAGTCTTTTCCCCTCATTCCCAGAACGCCATGCCAGTTTGCCGGCGGGGTATTGCTCCGTCTCCTGATAGTGCTCGCTCACTTGAAAAAACGCCAAGCAGGGCACTACTGCAGCGTTGAGACTAGCTTGGTCCCTTCGCCGAGGACGAGTTCATTTCCGATGCACAATGGTACAAGCTACTTTAATTGGTGAGATCATTAAATCACGCCGTGCAATGCGACTAGTCTCTAGCTGAATCGCCTGTCTCCGCAGTGCAAGGGTGTCAATTGCGGATCTGCATGAGCATATATATATACTAGAGCTTCCCCAAGAATTAATTTTTTTCCCAATCTCACGCTAGTCAGTTGAAAACAGTTCTCCTCCATCGAGTTTGGAAAAGAAGTGGTTTTGTTCATCGAAATGGTGGCCAATCTGCTTTCCAATGGGCTGTTGCTCGTGCAGCTCTTTGCTGCCCTAGCTTTGGGAAAGCCGAGCAACAGCCCTCTCTACAAAGATGCTAATGCTCCGGTGGAAAAGAGAGTGAAAGACTTGCTGAGCCGGATGACAATTGAGGACAAGAGGGCCCAGTTGATTCAGGGTATGGCTTTATCTTAGTGACATAGGGAAGTCCTAACTGCTGATGCATTCTTATACAGGCGATCTTACGAATTGGATGAACCAAACCACGGGAGAATTCAACTATACCGGCCTGGTCACCAACATGGAGCTGAAGGCAGGCATGTTCTATGGTATGAAGGCCTCTCCTTAGCCGTTGGCTCCTTTTATCAGCCCGCAGGAACACAAATACTAATGATTTGCAGTCGGATACCCTGTTTCTTGGGATTGGATCTCCGACAACGTCAAGAGAGCCCAGGACTACCTCATCCACAACACCACTCTGGGAATTCCGGCGATTGTTCAGACTGAGGGTATGTGCTCCAAGGATACAGTCTCCAGCTATATTGGGTACCAAGCTCATGACACTTCATGCATCAGGTATCCACGGATTTTTGATCGGTAATGCCACCATCTTCAATTCGCCCATTGCCTACGGATGCTCTTGGAACACAGAAGTAAGCGGCCATTATACTTGCACTGTCATACATACTGCTGAGGTCTAACACGGTGTTGTATAGCTCGTCGAAAAAATGGCGGAAATCACGGCACAAGAAGCCAAAGCACTTGGCGTTAATCAACTCTTCGCCCCTGTTGTTGATCTTGCTCGTGAACTTCGATTTGGTCGGGTGAGTTTTAGCTATATGTCAATATATTCGGCACAATGAAGCTAACACCCGAGGAAAAAGGTCGAAGAATGCTTCACTGAGGACGCTTTCCTCGCCGGCGAATATGGTTATAGCTACGTCAAGGGAGTGCAGGGTAAGAATGTGTCAGCTATGGTCAAGCACTTTGCGGGCTTCAGCGCCCCTGAGCAGGGCCTCAATACTGGCCCGGTTCACGGTGGCGAAAGAGAGTTGCGCACAACGTATGTCAGCCCCAAACCCAGAGACTGAACAGTTGACTAACCATTGCATAGGTGGTTGCCTCCTTTCAAGCGAGCCATCGTCGATGCCGGTGCTTGGTCCATCATGGCTGCGTACCACTCGTAAGTTCATCCTGGTCCAATTTGTCTTATATCACCATTATAACGTCTGTTTCTAGGTGGGATGGAATTCCAGCCGTCTCTGACTACCACACTCTCACCGAGATCCTGAGGGAAGAATGGGGATATGAATACTTCGTTATGTCCGACGCTGGTGGAAGCGACAGAGTGTGCTCCTACTTCAAGCTTTGTGAGAGCAATCCTATTGACATGGGAGCGGTTACCACGCAGCTGCTGAATGCTGGAACCGATGTTGAGATGGGAGGTGGTTCATTGTAAGCTCTATTGAAATACGCACGACACAGCTGCAGACACTAACTACCGAATAGCAACTTCCAGAAGATTCCCGAGCTTGTCAAGTCCGGCAAACTCGATATTGGGGTCGTGGACACTGCTGTCGCTAGGTTACTCCGGGCCAAGTTTGAAATGGGTCTCTTTGAGAACCCGTACCCTGCTGCACCTAAGGACGAGTGGCATAAGCTCATCAACAGCCCCGAAGCTGTGAAAACCGCAAGAGACTTGGATAAGGAGTCTATCGTTCTGCTTGAGAACCACGAAGACATCCTGCCTCTGAAAAAGTCGAGTAACATTGCGGTCATTGGGCCTATGGCTGGTGGTCTCATGAACGTGAGTAAATATTCTTACTTCGCTTGTTAGGCTGGGTATTAACAGCGTTTATAGTATGGTGACTACGTTGTCTACAGGAGTCAGTACCGGGGTGTCACTCCCCTCGAAGGTATCAAGGCTGCAGTTGACGACAACGCCCAGGTCCACTATGCCCCAGGATGCGACCGAGCGAGCAACGACCAGTCGGGCTTCGAGGAGGCAATCGAGGCCGCAAAGAAGTCCGACGTGGCTGTCGTGGTTGTTGGAACCTGGTCGCGTGATCAGGGAGAACTCTGGACAGGACTGAACGCAACGTGAGTAAACCGAGCTTGTTTCAAGATATATCTAGAATTGTCAATACTAACGTACGCAAAGAACCGGCGAGCATGTTGACGCAGACGATCTGTCCCTTGTTGGCGCCCAAGGACCTCTGGTCAAGGCGATTGCCGACACCGGCGTGCCAACAGTCGTCGTCCTGTCAAGCGGCAAGCCCATTACAGACACCTGGATTTCAAACTCAACCGCTGCCCTTGTTCAGCAGTTCTACCCATCCGAGCAGGGTGGTAATGCCCTTGCCGACGTCCTCTTCGGCGACTACAACCCATCCGGCAAGCTGTCCGTCAGCTTCCCCCGCTACGTGGGCAATCTCCCAATATTCTACGATTACCTCAACTCCGGACGCGCCATGGGGGACGTAGGTCATGAGTATGAAAATGGGACTCTCGTATTCGGCCACTCATACGTTCTCGGTGACGCCTCGCCGTGGTACCCCTTCGGCTATGGCAAGAGTTATTCCACCTTCAAGTATGGAGCTGTCAAGGTCGACAAGAGCGAGATCTCCGCATCTGAGAAGACTGTCACTGTGAGCGTTGATGTGACTAATACCCATGCCACTCGTGAGGGTACAGAGGTTGTGCAGGCCTATGTCCAGGATGATATTGCCTCTGTTGTTGTTCCTAATCGCCAGCTCAAGGGCTTCAAGAAGGTGGTTATTCCGGCTGGAAAGACTGAGACTGTTAAAATTCCTATTAAAGTTGAGGATATTGGCCTCTGGAATACTCGGATGAAATATGTTGTTGAGGCTGGTCAGTTCACTGTCCTTGTGGGCAGCAGCTCCGAAGATATTCGTGGTAACGCTACGTTTATTGTTCGGTGATTGTTGAGAGGTTTATGTTGAAGGCAATTTAGTTCCTAGTGTATAGTCCAATGCGTCTGTTGTCTGATATCAGTTTGTTAGATCACTGGTTATACATATCTTGAGTTATATTTGGAAATGAACGATTGAGATATCTCAGATATCAAGTCACATTTTCCTACATATTTTTCCTCTCGGTATCCCGAGCTTATTTTACTTCTCGGCGACTAGATAACCTTAGAGACTATGTATACTGCACGCTATTCATCTTTTCACCTAGGTAGGTATTAACATCATCTATCCCGTCCGGAATAACCAGTCACACTGGACTTTCCATTTTTCCACGGCCAAAATCCAAGTCCATGCATTGCTGAAGCTCCGAGATATAGGGATACGGACTAGGAAACTTGCTCCTACGCTCTTTTATAGAGGTAATTTAGCCCCAATTTCCATCTAATTTAGATCTTCACCAATATTATGTTAGCTCCTCTCCGCTCTAATTCTTTTTCCTAATCATTACCCCCCTTTACTAGTCTTATTTCCTTAGGTCTTGAATATCGGGCACTCTATTATTATAGAGGCCGCCACACATTCTCTAGAGGGGGTTGACTGTAAGCACTCCCCCGAGGCAATAAAGGGTCTCAGTTAAAGCCTATATGAACGACAGCGAGGAGGCCTTAACCTCTAACCATATCTCCGCTAGCTCAGAGCACCTCTAGCTGAAGCTAGGTGGAAAGGAAATCCAACTATTAGCAACTAGTGGCGCTGTTAGAACGTATTAGTGAGCCTTATATAGAGTAAGATTAACTGATTGAGCTACTTGCCTCCCTAGCCCTATTCATTCAGATCGGTGCAAGTCTGCCCAAGGGTGACCCTGCAGGCCTCTTTTTGGGCTTTGTGGTTTATGAAACTGTGCGTGGAATTGCCCATCCTTGGTAAGGACACCTTCGGGACGCACTTCAACAATGGAATTCCCCTTGACATTCACAAGATCCACATTCGCCTGATTATAGACCTCATAGTAACGCTGCTCGGGCGTCGCTTTCTTGGTTCCAAAGTAGTATACCGACTGCTTAGGCACAAGGATTTCGGCTCTCTTTGTATCCTTGATGCGTGGGAGGACCTCCCTCCGCCAGAACTCGTAGGCTTCCCCGTTGAGCTCCTTGTTCATAATCACTTCACCGTAAGGGGCAATCCAGAATTCCAGTCCTCCATCCTCAATGAAAGCCTCACGTTGGGCACAAGTGGTGGAGGCGAAAGGCTCGTTGGCGAATTCCACATCAATTCCCGCGAGTGTGTGTCTCCGCAACTCATAAAAGGCTTCGTATCGGGCTTTGTCTTGCTCCTCCACTGTCAACTGCCTCTGTCGGGCATATGTCGGGTTGCGCTGGAACACCGTCAAGTGCCTCACCTCCGGACCGAGCTCTTGAGTCACCTGCCGACCACTGGAGCCGTTGCCGACGACTGCGGCACGCTTGCCTTTCCAACCAAAACCTTCCTGAGGCCATTTGGATGTGTGAAAACAGGGATCCTGGAATGCTTCGAGATTCTTGAAATCGGGGATGAACGGCTTCGCAGCAAACCTGGTCGCAAAGATGAAATAGCGAGCGGTACGGCTTTGTCCATCATTTGTCGAGACGGCCCATTAGTTGCAATTCTGATCGAAGTCGGCAGCAATCATGCAAGTATTGAATAAAATGTCTTTCTTCAGGTGGAACTTCGACTCGACGTACTCAAAGTAGCGCCGGATTTGTTCCACGCCCGGATATTTTTCGGTCCACACCAAGTCCCAGTCCCGCCAGACGTTGTCGTTGGAGACTTCCCAAAGAGGGACTTCGGTGTCGACGCTGGCACCAGGATGACGATTCCAGTACGAGACAACTCCAGTAACCGGCAGCTTTATCAATGATCAAACATCTCAAGTTCTGTTTTCGGAAGCGTGCGAAGTTGTCGGATGGATGAGTCTCCAGATAGGGCAATTTTCAACCAACAGTAAGTTTTGCTTGCCACTCGGTGGTTTCCAAGCAGCTTTGTCCTGTTACTAACACCGATCACCCTCGCTAAGCTTCCTTGTTGTGTCGCAAGACAGAAATCACCTTTTCATTACATTTGCGCAATGCAGCAAAGAGTATGTGGCATGTCTGCATGGACAAACTGAATACTGTGAGCTTATGAAGATGCACACATATGGGCCATGGAGCACTGAAATAGCGAATGATATGAAGGAATTCGCTGTGTGGATTCTTGCTACTGCCATGAGAGCTCTGGGAATATCTGCTTAGTCTTATATCCAGTTTCCAGAGATGTTTTATTCATGGTGAATACTTGTACAAGCTATCTACATACATATGTATGTTCTGATCGAGTTCAGTCTTAATCTTCCCACTGTCATGAAATGGAAATCAGTCTCAATAAATACATATGTACACATGTACATGTACCGTCTCTTACCACCCGTAAAACCTTTAAATTAAAGACTAACGCCGCCTGGTATTTCCGTGATGCCTGCGTCATTTGGGCCCCCTCTATTTCGACACAATCCCTTTCTGCTTTCCATCCTCCTCCACATTTCTCCATCCCTTGTCCTTGCTTTCGATCATCGTTTCTTCTTTTATCCCGATTCAAGTCGATCAAATGTCGCCACCGCGGAGGACGCTTACCAGGCGCGGGCGAGAGCGTGAGCTTGACCAAGCTCGCTTCGCAGAGTCTCGTTCCAGCGCGCTTAAAGGCATCATCGACACATATAATCACACGTTACATCACAACAACATGCTCATTGAGTCCGATTCATACCATGATCTCGGTATGATCTAGTGATTGCTGCCGACGGATCCTACACGACGGTTCCCAGACCAGCCTTCTTCGACCCTCTGGTTGTTTCCCAAATCCCAACGCCAAACACACAGTCTGACTCGACTCGGATGAACTTGGAGGACATAATGACTCTTCGGGGGCTGCGAAAGACAAATCCTAAGTATCAGTACCTATCAAAACAAACCCAAGCGTTGGGCTTTGAGATAGGTGTTGCCTTCAGGTTCCTCAAACGCGATGAAGGCCGTCGGAAGGACCGCAGCCTTGCCTCTATCACTAACTATTACCAAGTGTAAGTCTACTTTTGCTAGCCACCTTTAGGCACAGACCAACTCTTCGACCACAGTGGCAACATCTCACCAACCATAATAGCTGAGGAGTACGATCCTGTGGTATGGCAATCTCTCTGGTGGCACCCAGAGGCAGCCTTTTGCCAGAGAACATCCCTCAATTCACCACACACTATAATTGTTTTGCACCTGACCGTTGAACCGGACGACAGACTCTTCCAAGCGGAGGTTTTGACTGCTCTCACCATCATGCTCACGCTTCTTGAGGGAGATAAGTTTGAACACCACAACACAGTGCCAGTCATGGTGGTTAGTGTCATGGGTCGAATGCAAGCCCGTGTTCTACAATTCCACTACAGCCATGAAGGTCTCGTTATCACCAAGACACGGTTAATGAGTTTCGCCACTATGGAAAGCACGACGATCGGGCTCGGTGTCATGATGGGCCTCATGTCGTCAAAGGCTATTGGAAACACAACGGACCCCAGCAACATCTTAAAGGTGAGCTGTGTGACTCCTAAGTCGTCTTAGTTGCGAATACTAATATTTATACAGCCCGTGTCCCCTACTTAGGTATATTATTAATAGCTTCTTCGTTCCGTCTCTTATACGCGGCTACTTATATCTTTACAATAATACGTTTAGCTATAACTTCCTCCCCTAAGACTTTAGTATAGGCGCCTAAGCGCTTAAATTCTTACTATTCCTCCCGTATAAACGTAGAGAGGTCCGCGTATATTAGCGGAGGGGGCTCGACCTTATTAAGGATTTTATAGAGCATGTTGGGTCACCATCGATTGGTAACTAGCATGTCTATAACATATAGCTAGAAAGGAAAAGCGCTATAGATACGGAACTAGGATCTTAATATATATTTAACTTCTTTATCTCGAGCTTCTCTAATGGTTACTAAGGATCGACTACATGATCATCCTAATAACTACTAGTGTCCGAAAGAGGACTCGGAAGCTAGCTGAACATATCATCGTGATAGGCAGTAAGTGTAACGGATAAAGATCCTTACAAAATTCAAAGCTTCATAAATGGTGTTATGGCGATATCATATCTCATAAAAAGGTATAGCATTAGAGGACCAAACGCCTTTTCCAACCACCGAGAATTGATGCTGCGGGACTATGCCGGATTATCGCCTGCAGTACGAGAGCCTGCCTGACCAGTAGAGGGACCTCGACCGGGATCTGGAGAGACCGAGGGTTCGGACGGCTTGCTAGCACCACTCGCAGGTGGATTGCTCGGACTGTCACCGGAGCGACCCTCCGCTCTCCGAGTTTTGGCACCCTCTTTCAATTTCTCCCAGCGGTCCCGGTAACGCCCAAGAACATTTTTGAGCTTGTCGTTCTCGTGAGTGGCAGTTTCAAGTTTCTTTTCACTACGCTGGATCTGCTCCTCCAGTTCTTTGATCCGCGCGTCGGTATCAGCCGCGCCCGGCGGCGCAGTCAGCGTAGCAACAGGAGAGGTAGTGGCCGTTGAAGGCTGGAAATAATCAGGCGTCCCACCGCTCTGGCGGTGCATCATTCGGATTGATTGCTGAAGCGCCATCGAGGAAGATTGGGCGCTCACCTCCCACATATGCAATCGTGTCGCAAGTGAATCGGTCAAATTCCTTAAGGTCTCATTCTCCACCTGCATCTCTTCCATTGTCTTGTGTGTCTGCGGAGTGGTAAGCTTATCGCGGCGTCCTGCCCATATGCGTGAACCACTGGCACTGTGGCGCATTTCAGGAGACGAAGGGGTCTCTCGCGCATCCACGAAGTCATCATCACCTTCCTCGATGCTGTTGCTGCGTGCCTTCTTTTCAGCTCGAGTGAGGATCCCAGCGTACGACATAGTCCCACCCGTGGTTGGGACTACATAGAATGACTCCGCTGGGTTCGCGGGACCTGCCCCAGAGCCGTCCCGAATCGACCGCAATGCAGCTCGGGAGAAGAGCTTGTTCACGTCAGGCTCACCCGCAGTCATGGACCGGTCTAGAACAGCATGATCACGGTCCAGTTTCACTTCAGCTGAGGACTTGCGGCTCTGTTCAGTGCGGACTGGATCCGCAGACCCCATTTGAATCCCTGCGAATGCCAAAGGTCCGGACACCTTGGAGACCAGTCCCCCGAAGGCCGAGTAAAAGCGATTGAATGCTTCGTCGGTAATTGCAGGCTTATCTTTCGATCCGCCGGATTCAGCTGCACTAGGTATAGTTTGCTGGGAAACCACCTCAGTGGAACTGGGTGTCGGGGGAGACCATGGTTGTCTGGGTGTAGAAATACGACTGCGCCGACTTTTGGCTGCACCCTCACGTAACCTTGTTTCCCCGGCTTTAGCCCTCGGTGGCGTTTCAGTCATCTTTGCTGCGACATGTTGCGATGTGAGTGTTGGCGACACCGGCGATCCACGTCGGGGGTGCGACGGAATTCCTCGGGCGGATGCTAGATTACTAGCAATAGAGGATTTATCCCGACTTGGCAGACGAGCGTTGCCTACCAATCTTGGTGGTAGGTGTGCGTCCTGGTTCGCGCTTGCGCTCTTTGTGGCCCCGATCTCGGTTGAGGTCTGCTGAGTCGCTAATGTGGAGGTGGCAGTAGCTGATGCCGGTTCAACAGGGATACTGGTTGGATGTTCATGCTGGAATCGAAGGATTTCGGCGAGCTTCTTGTGGTGAGTTTCGAGCAAACGTAGGGTCCGTAGGGCCTATGACGCGTTAGCTCAGAGCCGAGCGGGGGGCAGATCTTCTAAAACTCAATCAAGACTCACCTCATGGTCAGAGCTGCTCTGTGCAGCAGTTGCAAATTCACCAGCAGCTAGATCATGTTCCTCGCTCGCAGCGACTGGGTTGGCCTTGCGAGTCTCGAGCACTGCGTTCCGGGCATGGGTGTGGGCCTGGGTGCGGTCAGATTATCCTGAAAATGAGGGGCGGAGCTCTTACCAAGGCCAAAGGAGCTACTTCCATGGCGAAAATAACTTCACCTTCGGGAGTTAAGAGAGAAAAATCAGGTGCATTCCTTTGATGGGATTTATCCGGGGAATGTTGGAGAAGTGACGTTATGCACACTGAATGGAGCGAGGGACACCATACATTGAGGTACACGAGATACACGAGGTAACCCTTCAAAGTAATGCTCCTAGATCAATATTTTAGAACAGATATTTGTATCAATCAAACCGAAAGCAGCAAAGTTTTGAAGTTACATCTACATTCTAAACAGTGGAGAAGCAGAGTAACTTCGTGATACTTATAGCTATACTGTCAGACTACTCTAATACATTGATCGGGGGGGGGAAATATATATGTACATATGTAGAATCAGTATTAGGTGACACGGTCAGCGGGAAGCCTCGTAAGCTTATTCACATCAAATTTCACCCGACTTGTTGACAATTTACGTTCTTCATTTGATACAATCCGTCTCTTTGTATACTCGAAGGAATCGTCGACCGAGTTCCAATTTTGTGTAATGACCTGCCGGTCTGAAAAGAATGGAAAGACGTGACTGACCTCTTGAGGAGCATGGCTGATTGCGCAAAGAGCCTGCGTATCACTGCGGTAGAAACCAATGGTTATGCTGCACTGATGCGAGGATGGTAAAATAAATGGAAGGTGCAGACAAGTTTCACGCGCCAGGACAATTGACCGCCTCGGGAAACAACGTCCACGTGACCAAATGTCTTTCAGCTCCTTGTCCATAGGGCGATTAGCACCATCACGTGAGTTAGTGCTTAACGTTGCTCCCCTCTAATGCATGGTTCATTCTTTCCTTGCCCTCATGGTATGCAACTATTATTATATGAATAATTTAGTTCCTTAACTGCTGAGGTGCGTTGGCTGATATATACAAGATGTACGTAGGGTAATTAACGAGTCTCGGGAAACTGATTTCTGGAAACCATCTGTCCCTGCTTGTTTTTTCGTATGTAAACAACCATACTTGGCAGACCAAAATTCCTTTAGTCGACTGGTGAGCCAGGTTTCCACCCGATCTCTAGTTGTAGAAACAAGCCCTTGCGACTCTTGATCACCAGCCTCGTCAGCTTCCTCGCCACTTTCATCTTCACCCCATATTTCTTTGAGCCAATCGTCTTCATATATAGTCTCTGGGGGCATACCCTCCCCACCGATGAAGAATCAGCGGAAGATATCCAGTGAAGCTCCCCGAGAGGCTATCTGATCAAGTTCCTTCTTCTATAATGTTTTGGGCTTCTCGATATCCAAGATGTCGGTAGGATATTCGGTGATCGTTGAAATAGGTAACGTTGAAAATCTACGGTCCTAAAAGTTCGCACGTTCTTCTGGGTCCTAGTTCTAGTGGTGGTAATGGTACCATGTCGATCGCATCTCAAGTGCGAAGCCACGCGAAGGGCACAATCTTTCGTTTTAGAGGCCCTATAAGGTGCCTAGGGTGTACACCATAGGGTCTGATGCGATAGTATAGGCCGTCATCCTCGTTTAGAGGGAGGTGGAGTAAACGCCACACGTCTGGCCTTAAAATGTATTCCGTATTCTTAAAAGTATGTAGACCTAAGCCTATAGTATCTATAAAGCTTTAAAAACAACTAGTCTAGGGAAAGGCAAGCGCGTTAAGAGGAGGCCTACCTCTTCTCAATTTTTGAATGATTTTCGGAGCTAACCCGCTTATCGCTACCCTAATCTAGAGAGCACTAATATTGGTGGACGTATTGCACCTATTAAAGCAAATATCTCGTAATCATGGTTAACCGTGCTAGAAGTTCCACTTAGTACCTCGTTAAGAACTGGATACGACTAGGGACCGACGAGACTATAAGGAACTTCGAGTTCCCAAAATGATCCGTAAAGAGTCGATATCACTACTTCCGGACTATAGCTAAGAGTCATATAGTAGGGTAGCTCTTTGATTAAACTTGGCTATATTAACGAAATAGGAGGCGTAGGTAGTTTACCACTAGTTGCTCTTAGAAATAGTAGTTAGATAGTTAAGCCGTAGTATTAATACGTTAGAAACGTTATAGCTGTTATAAGAGTAATAGATAATTGGCTACCTAGCCTATATAAACGCGCAGACTTAGTGAGGGCATTAAAGGCTTGTTCTAAGTTGAAGGAGAGCAAACTAAAGCGGGCGAATATCCCTTCTACTGAATTTCGAAGCGCGTTAACACGTGCGGGAGACCACCTACGGCGCGAGGAATTCGCCTTTAGGGATTTGTTTCACCATCGCTTTCCACCCTTCATGTTGAGCGAGTATAGCATACCGATATTTCCTCAGGCCAAATATGGCAGAGATTAAAATCGAGTACCCACACGTTGGGTGAAGTTGGTTCTCATCCTGGAATCTAAATCTTCATGGGAGGACATGCCGATCGCTTGTTGCGGAGTCAATTGGAGGGATATAGAGATATTCTCAGTATGGCCGGTGCCGCGTCCCCCTCACTCCCGAGCACAAATTCAACATCGTAGCCATCAACATTGGCCTTCGTATCAGCCAGGCTTTTGTTGGAGATCAAGGCAAATAAGTGCCGAATTTGGACGAGAGAGGTCATATCTACTGGCAAGCAGATTCCCTCTACCTCGTCTTCTGGAGAAGGTTCTGCAGGACGGCCAGCTTTCGTTTCAGGAAGCTCCATTCGTTGTATCCAGGGTTGATAAGGGAGTC